GGGGGGGGGGGGGTTATACTGTATACTGAGGATTTGACATCGGACGCTGGAAGACACATTTTCTCACGCTTTAAAAAGGTTAGTTTTTGGACATGACTCAGCAGGGGGTGTGGCTTACCGTCACATTTGAGTCCCTGTCGGACGAGGCCCCACAGCATCTCCCCACAGTGGTGGCAGAAGGTGGGGGTCCGGTACGAGTGGACCACCAGGGAGTGGGGGCGGATCCTCATCTCAGTCACTGTCGCTGATCCTGAGTCAGATTGAAATAAAGAGAGGTAGTAAAGTGCGATGACGCCACTGATTTATGGCAGAGTGCTACTCAGAAATATCCCCTGGAATTAAAAATACTTGGACAGAAGTTTTTTAATCATAGATTGCTTCCGTTTCTCTTAAATTACAAATTGATAGCTAGAAATAAAGTGCAGATGATGTAACTTTACGCTATCTTACAAAACATCTCCGAATCAGAAACAAATATTTTGGGACCATTAAGAAGCTAAGGATAGATTTGTTTTGTTTTTAGCTTATAAATGTTTTAGTAAAACACATACATTCTCTTAGATTAGATGTGTTTGTAAAATATACTGTCAATCATTTCTGTCTGGTATTTTGGCACTTTTTGAGAGTTTTATTTTGATCGTACTTTTTGAAACGTTTGATTGAAATGACTTGAAAACAGCTAATAACTAACTGAATGATAATTGTAATACAGAAACGTTTTTCTCCTGGCTCTGAGCTGTTGCCCACCTGCGACGATGACCTCGATGAGGTCTCCGTCCCGCAGCTCGTCATCGTCAGTGAAGCGCTGCAGCAGCTGCTCTGAAGAGGAGTCATGTCTGAAGAGCAGCACCTTCTCCCCGAGGCCGACCACACTGCAATCTGGAGCCTGAACACACACACACACACACACACACACACACACACACACACACACACACACACACACACACACACACACACACACACACACACACACACACACACACACACACCATTATTTGTGAATCCACCACCTATGATCTTAAGACTGTAAGAAACACTTTACGATTACAAACCATGATGGAATAAAAAGTAGATAAGAGAAAAAACGAAATACAATTTGAGAGTGATTCATCTTAGTTGAAATTCTATCATCTAATTTTTTGATACATAAGAAGCAAAGTACACTATAGCTCAACATTGACCAAAAAGCTGTGTTTATTTCTGGCACGATAACAAAAAAACGTTTTAACAGCAGTTTGGAGTCTCTTTCTCCTGTGATGGGAAATGTTTAACTTGAACTGAGGATTCTGAAACATCAAGAACGTAAACAAATACACAATGTGTTAAAAGCTATACAGCATATCATTAGAATATATGTGTGGAGAGTCCTCCTCCGGTTTATGTGGATTAATCCTCCCTGTGGACGATGGTTTTCATAAGCATGTACTTTATATTTTTCGTTCTAAATACTTGTTATATTTAGCATCTATTGTAATGTTTATACTACATATAAAGAGCATCTATGTTTTTTCCTTCGCTACCGTTTTGTGTCGATGCAGCCGTTTTATGTCGGTTAGTGTGCAGTGAAACACATTCTTCAGACGGGCTGACCTGCTGCCTGGAAACTGAAGAAAAGCCTCCACTTAAAAGAAGTGTGTGTGTGTGTGTGTGTGTGTGTGTGTGTGTGTGTGTGTGTGTGTGTGTGTGTGTGTGTGTGTACAGCGGGGTGGGGGGTGGGGGGAGGCCGTGGTTGGAAAGTTTGCTGTGCTCTTGTCGACCACAAAGTCCCTGAGAGTGAGGCAGTGAGAAGACCAGAGGACAACACCTGCATCATCTAACCCCAACTTACTTTAAACTGAATGAGTGCAGATTTCAATGTTACCATCATAAAGATGATTGGTCCTGTTTTTAGAAATACAGTTTGGTGATATCGAGGGTCTGAATATATTTGTTGTCAAATCAAATCTTGAGCCTGCCATGTAGCCGACTTCAAAATATCTAATTTAAGATAAGATTTCATCCCAAATTGGGAATGTTAAATGCAAATAGAGCTGCTTTAACCGTCGGTCAAATCACTTGTGAGTACGTGCATTACACTACAGCTGAAACCCGCACAACATCCTGCTGGCTGAGTGAAATGAGAAGAAACTATACATAGCAGCCTAAATTCCTCCATCATGCATGTGGTGACCTTCACTTCCTCAAGACGTCCCCTAAACATCATCAAAGTAGGACTTTCTTTGAAGCAGGTTTTCACCCCAAGATGAACTACTTTTATTACTAAAAACGCTTTTCAGGACCTTATTCTTCATAGTTTGAAGCTGCTGGAAACCTCCACTGCAGCAGATATGGGTTCAGTAGACTATTTCTGATCCACTGCATGGTTACCCTTAATCTACTTCAGCACAGTGGTATTACACGAGACCTCCACCTCACCTTGCGCTCGATGATCTCCGCAGCGAGCCTCCTGGCATGGCGGTAGCTCAGGTTTCCAGCCGGGACTCGAACCACCTCTCTGAACAGGCCGAGCTGGAACTGGACCAGAGCCGGGGCCGAGACACTGCTGGGGCTGGAGGGGGGTGCTGCGGACATGGAGGAAGATCCTGAGGACACATGGGATTAGATTAAGGATGACAAGCAGATTTGAATTTGAGTTTTTCATACAAATTGATAAACTCAAAGTTAAACAGAGAAAATATATTTTTGTCTACAACGTGTCTCAAAAGAAAGCAAATTAGAGGCATTATGGACTTTGGTCTTTTGTATTTCTTTTTTGGCAGATCAACTTTCAGAACCTCAAATTCCTCCTGTTTGTATTAAAGATATCACTAGTGTGACAAATTAAGTGACACATTTCAAATAGCAAATATATTTGTACCACTAAAATGTGATATGAAATACTTATAAGTGTAGAAAACATGATAGGACACGTCTAAAAATACAGTATGAGCAAGATATCAGGTGACAGAGTAAATTCTCTTAAGCTTGAGTTAACTCAAATGTAAAATTGTGAAAAAACTGAACTTCAGTAACCTTACTTAGTAACCCTGGTTCCGAGCTCCGATCTGTCCCCACCAGGATAGTATCTCAGCGATGAGACAGCTGATCACTCTCTCATTGAGCTGCAGATTCTCGGCACGGTGGGTTTGGTTTCCTATTTGTGGGGCTCGGCTGCGATGACACAGGAAGCTACAGAGCGAGAAGCTGCAGCGAAACCCCCCCCCCCCCTCCTCTGTGAAACTCACACACTTTGAAATGGTCAAATTATAGGAAATAAAGGAGACAGAATCAGTTTGAAAAGTGGAGTTTGTATTTATTGAACCTTTTGATAAAATACACATTGGGTTGGCCCCTTCACAATGACACCCGTCAGCAGTATAGGAGCACACATAATGACCATCGATCTAGAACATTTACCATCTGAGTGAAAACTCCATAAATATTAGAGGGAAATCTTTCAGAACATTTACAACCATAGCAGTTTTAGATTTTTCTCTCGGCCGTTTTATTGTGCTTAATATTTATGGAGCTATTAATACACAGTCAGACGAATTACAGACGCTTCCAGCAAACCAACCCAGAGGTGAATACGTGATGAACGGTAGAGGATTGCTCAGTGTTACAGTCAGGAAGTAGACTAGTCCTAGAAGATGTTCTGGAAACTACACATTCTGATGTGAACAGACATAGAAAGGATTGCTCTGTACATTATTTGCTGCGGACGACACTTAACGCACTTCTCCTCCCGCAACGTCTCTCCATTACCATCGTTTCTTTTTTCTGCCTCAACACTTACTTTAGGCCTTCTTTCCTTCATGCGTTCACTTCTACGTTACGATCTAAAAACCTGCACCACGGCGCACAATCAGAAGCTGACAGATTAAGCACTTTCATTATTTTAGAGTTAGCAATGTGACGTCATCAAAAAGGTGATTTTAAGAAAGGGCCGGTGTCAGGTTGTTGGGGAATTTTGGCGATGGTGTGCATGCACCGTCGTGGACAAAATGCAACAATCCTGCATCCTCCCGTCTTAGAAATCTAACTCAGATTGTCAGGACAAATGAAGCAAAAAAACGTTGTTGTTTCTTGACAATCTGATCCCAGTTGAAGCGACGCCACAACTTGCCTCGATACTTCACATTATAAGACGCGTACATTCTGTGGACAGTTCTCTTGGTATTGGTCTTATTTTTGGTGGAAACAGCACAATACAAACATCCAGTGTGAAAGCCACCGGAACAATCGATATGTAATTGAACATTCAAATGATTATCAGTACCTTTAACACAAAAAGCTCAGATCAAAAACAGGAAACACAAATCATCAGGAAGGGCAACACTTCACACTGAGGATTGTTCCGTACAAAACGATACATATTCAGCAACATAAACACGGGGGAAACCTTTCACAAGAGGAATACATGAACACGCTGTTGATGCACTGCACCAGCTTTGATAAGGTAGTTATTCCTACATTGATTATGCTTTAGAGATATTTCCCTTCAGTAGCTTTCAGACTTATGGCAGTAAGCCTGGACGTGTTTTGTGAGGACCTGAAAGTAATGATTTTAGTGTTTTATTCAACTTATTTTCCAGTAGGTAGTATTGAGGACACATTGTAAATATAATTTCAAATGAACTTTCTGACACTTTTATATCAAAGTTTAAAGAATGACTGATATAAACATGACCAGCAGAGGGCGCCGTAGGGGCTCAAAGTGCATCACGACTAAACTGAACCATGAGTCAGCAGAATTCAGAGATTGAGGTACTAAATGTATCAGCATTTAGGAACTTTTCATATTTCTTTGTTTTCCCGTCGTCCCCCTTTTAGATAAGAAGTATTTTCTTAGACCCAATAAAGTGTAAACCAAAAAAAGAGTGCACTATTTACAAGGAAAGAAACATCAAATAATTTAAAACTGTATATACATAAAACAACAAGAAAGGCAAACAGTGAGGTTTAAATGGTTAGTGCTAATTTTGAAAAATCTTCTTAAATACCTCTGCTATCCTCGTTTTAATCAAAGCGGACGGTACCATTTGGACCGTCTGTGATATGCATGGAATGGGCGGTTAGCAATTGGGAGATACTCCATGCTACTGGTGAGATATACAGAGTGCAGACGCTCCTCTCTGAACTGGAACCGGAGTACATTTAGCCTACGAGTGTCTGCATACTAAACACGGGACTCATCACGATGTGGATATACGCCACGGTGCTAAAACACGATGCGTTCAGGAGCAGACATTCCACGTTCTAGTAAGCAGCATGCTGATTAATGTGTATCTAAATATTCTCTTTAGTGATTGATGGCAGCGTTTTGTACAGCGAAGCAGCGACCGTGTCTAAACAGGATGACGCTACGCGAGGTGGTGTTTTTTCTCTCTTAGTGTTCTTTAAAAAATATGCTGCAGGTGCAAGTGTCTGATCTCGCTTTAGAGTGTGGATCAAACCAAGCCTCTCCTCAGTCCCGCCTCCTCTCTCGGTCTAACCAATCAGGGAACTGCGTCTGGATAGGTCCACGTTGCTGGAGCTGAGTCCCCTGCAGTCCGAGAGGCCGGGGGGGGCGTCCTAAAAACAGAACAGTAAATGCTATAACTTCTGTTGGACATTGTCAGCTAATTACTATATTATATTTTTAGATTTTGGGGATAATTGAACTTCGTACCTGTGTGGTCTCCTCCGTGCTCTTGTTGAGGAAGTTGAGGGAGCTTGCTCTCTTCATTCTGAGGAACGCAAGACATCAAACAATTAGCCTAAAGCATTTAAACATCATGTCAGAATAATGTCTGAGAAAAACAACCAGTAGTCTATTTACTCCTTCGTTAATCTCCTTACAGTTTTGAGAGATCTTATCATGTCATTCTAACACTCTCCAATACTTTTCTTAAATTCAGAAATACGTCACATTATGATTATTAAAGACAAGTCAAAGTAATATTTTTGTAAGCTTTCAGCCACATATGTTGACCTCAAAATAACCAATAATAACCTTTAAATCTCATTGGAAATTGTCGGACAAAGACGGCTTATGTTTGGATCCCCATTAGCTGCAACATTGAAGTAGCTATTCGTCCTGGGCTCTGCATTACCTTTGGGAATGTTACGAGTAGGGCTGCTCGATTATGGCAAAAATCATAATCTCGATTATTTGGGTCAATAATTGTAATTGCGATTATTAAATGCGATTATTCATTGACTTTGAAAACATCCATTTACTGGGGAAAAAAAATGTGAACAGTGTGTTTTTAGCGGTTTATTACCCTGAACTTTAAGTATAATTAAAAAAAAAAGAAAAAACCGGTATAAGTAATAATAAAAAAAAAAAATCGTTGCAAGCCATAATCGTTAATTGATATGATTAATTGAGCAGCCCTAGTTACGAGTACATTTTAATGAACAAAATCACCATTAGCACAATTTGAAATCCATTGGTTACAGCCTGACTACTAACAGCTGACTGTGTCCACGTGTGGCATTGTGTGAAGTTCCCTGGGTTCCGTGGCTCCTTGAGCCCGCTCCCTGCAAGCTTCTTCACCAGCATCTCGCTACTCCTCCTCAGGGCCGTCACGGATCTTCCCGAAGGAGCCGCTGCCGCCGCAGAGGAACCCGTTCCCATCCTGAGGGGAACATGAAGCAGAACACCAGAGTCAGCA